GCTCAGAATCGATCACAATGGCGTAGGTATATACACACTCTGTCTTCCCTTAGACTATGAGATTAGAATTACTTTATATCATTCGTTCTACCAACTAATTCCTTCTTCCTGTACTATATCTTCATACACAATCTTTCTTTTTATATATTACTACCAATGAAGTAACTAATTCTGTGAATTCGGTACTCATTTTATTGTGCTAATGAGGTGTAACAACTTGGACCGATGTATATACGTGTCTGGCCCTACGTTGCAGCTGACTGACTGACTGACTGATCTAATCAGAAGGTGGACATTCTCAACACCACTTTAGCATCACTCAAAGATCGTTCATAAATTATAGTCTCATCAAAATTTTATAGATAAACACTAAGTGAGTTTGTGCAGAATAAAGGAAAATTCAGGTTCACTGTATGTTTTCAACCAATTTTATTCTTCTAAAGTTAACTGTTCAGAAAAGATTTTTAATCTGAAATGAATATGTAAAATGAAGGAGTCCCATACTAGGACGAATTGGACGTCCAGTGCTTTCAGGTTTTCCATGATAGTCTAGCTTCAATTGACTCATGATTTCAACCTGTGAAATTTCTAAAAATCTCCACAAAACCCATTCTGATAAAATTGTTATATCTATATTGTTATACATGATACCTATAATATAAAACTGTCAGAAATACACATCATAATCTTTAAATGTCCTTAACATAGGATATTTTCTTTCATCATCCTGTCAAATATTCATCATTCCATTTGTCAATATATATATACTAATGAATATAATATCATTGTATTTCATGTACAATAAGATTAAATATCTTCTATAATATCCGACAGATTTCTCACCTCATTCATTTCTAATTTATAAATTATACATTTCATTTTGTCAAACTATGCAATATCCTACAAATACAATTTACATCATACAATTATTATTAGTATGTATATTGATATACAACATAAAGGATTATAGATAAGAATAATGTATTAATGGTCCTGGTGATGATGATGATGATGATGATGATGATAATGGGGTTATTTTTTTAAAGAAGGAAAAAAGGACAATGAGGAAAAAAAGGAGGATTAGTTATTCTCATCACAAATGGTTGACATTTATTCTTTCATTGTTGACATAGACATGTGAACTAAATTTAGTTGAAATGTATAAAGAATATTGGTATACTTATAGGACATGGATAATGACGTTTGAATTTAATGAAATCTGTTGATGTAAACAAAAATTATCAATAGTGGCTATTGGTAGAATCCAGGGTACATTTTTTCATTTGATTTATGACTCGTTACCTAAATGTAACTGTATACAAGTGTTGATATTAACATGGATTGACTACAGTCTTTAACATTAACAATGAGAAAATAAAGATCTTTACAAGTAAAATTCATGCTTATTCCAGAAGCTTATGGTTGCAAGGACTAGAGAATAACGCTTTAACATTTCAAAAGAAAGGTACTGTTTTTAAATATTAGTGTAATTATGAACACTAATATGCAAGTAGATCCAACTGACGAGTCATAAACAGAATGAAACACAAGTCCTAGATTCCACTCCTAAATGCTATCATAAAATACACAAACTGTGACCAAATAGCAATATTGAGGCAATCCCCTCAGGATGTGTATATATCAGAAGAAACTGACCAATTATAATCTGTAACACCAAAAACTGGAAAATACAAACCCTTGGAAATAACTGTTACCTATCTGAAATATTGGTAAAGTGAAATTTCTTGAAATAGTTTTGTATTCAGTAAATGATGATTGACTGACTAAAACAAAATGTCACTGTGAAACTACAAAATATCTGTAGTATACTGTATTTTAAAATGCATAACCAGGATCTTGTTACCAAATGATTAAGAATACCAATAACGTGTGAAAAATATGTTCGGAGGTTCCTAGCAATCGCTAAATATTATTCAAACATTCGATTGCATAGGGTTTTAGTGTAATATTTTTTTTCACCTAGTTAAAACAGATTATGTGATGCTTAGATAATAAATATGCTTATAAGGCTTATAAGGCACCTCATCATATACAAAAATTGTATTTTTAACTTTATATCTTATGACGATAATGATTGCTAGATTTTCAAAGTTATTATTTACCATTCTCAGAATGGGATTTGTGGAGATGGTATTAATTTAATAGTTGAATTCATGAATCAATTAAAGCTAGATCATTATGGAAAACCTGCAAGCACTGGATGACTGTTCCGTCCTAGTATGATACTCATCAGCAGTGCACATTCACGAGTCCGCACGTGGGACTCGAACCCAGAACCTTCGATCTCGTGCGCGAACGCTTAATCTCTAGACCATTGAGTCCGTATCCAACAATGTTAATGTCTAACTTGAACCAATCCACGATAGTGCGCCACCATTCACTTATTAAATGATAGTTTTTGATTAAATGAATCTTTGTAATTAAAAAAAATCATATACGAAACGGTACCGTTGTACATAGATACTTTCACTAACAAGCTCAAACTCATCATTTAGATTAACTTATAACTTCCGTAACGCAGAATTTTAAGAAGTTTCGATTAGCATTTTACATCTCCATAATACAGAGAGAGTAGTAACCAATGTTAATCTAATGATAAAATAATGATCGTTTACGTCAAAAATCCACATAACGCTGACATAATCACACCTATTCGACTTTTTATTGAAATTAATATTCTGTCTTGGTCTTATAATCTATTTAAACCTGGCTAATATTAAGTTAAGAAACGTCAAAAATCCAAGTTCCTACTGATTGGAATATTACGGAAATACTAATATTTAATCAATAACTTTATTTCTATAGGTGTTCAATTTATTTGAAACTTGCGGTTCGACCCTGGTACTGATACCTACATTGCTAGTTTACTTTTGGTAGATTAAAACTTTTAGATGTCACAATATCAGTGGATCTAAATGCTTTGCACAAATGTTAAGTGAACAATCATTGTTGTCGCAAGCTTTTAAATGACACCAGGAAGCATTGGACATTCATTTCATCTTAGTATGAGACTTTTTCAGCAGTGAATCTCAATATAAACATTCTTGTTATATGAATAGTCAGTTTGTATTTCACTATCTGAGAATGTTATGTTGTCGGCCAATACTATTGACCTTATAAGTAACTTGATGAACAATGATATTTGGTTGAGATACTCCGAGAACAACAGATCAATTAGATTGATTTCTTATAACGAGCTTATTCACTAATCGGTCTTGATTATAATACAATTAGATGTGATCAGTTTTCATTGCGAGAAATAAAAATTAAATTAGACAAATTAGACTATGTGAGGAAAAAATAGGGTAGATCGAAATTGTATTAATCAAGTCACTTGAGATTTTTATGACTTCAAAAAACCTGAATACTTTCTCTTGATAATTTTCACTCAAAACCAAAAACGGTCGAGTTAAGATGAACGCTTTAATTGAGACACTGAACGGTAACTTTTTTCAGTCATTTAGGGAACATGTAAGCCATCTTTACTTACAAATTACAATCACATTCATATACATATAAATTAATAAACACAGTGAAGTGTTACATGATGATTTATATTCTGTTTAGGTTCTTTTGTAAAGTGTAGACACTGTTTTTTGAACAATACTGACATGGGCTGAACAGTACGTTCTACAGCTAAGCGATTATGTTTTCGTTTCAGCGTACAGCTATTTCACTCGTTTTTTGAGTGATATAATGAAATAGCCTGGTTTTTAGGTCCCAATAGCCTAGTGAGTCTTGGATATCTATTCTGCATCACTGATTTATTTAAGAATGACACCATTCTTCCAATAGTATTATTTGTACAAAAATGATCAGTTCTATTGAAGAAAGCTCATCAATCAAACTTCTGTTTATTAGACTTACTAGTAATAATAGAAACTAATCCAGTGCCCTATTCACTTAGAGTTTGGTTGAGACAAGTTTATCGACGTTAAATCTACAGTTGTTAACTGGAACCCCATTTTAGAATCTGCTTAGTTCCAGAATATCGAAATAGTGATTAAGAATCATAATGTTAATTAACTCTAGACAGTTGCGTAATGAAGTACAGAACAATATCAATTGAAATCAGATAATTAGAAATAAGATTAGGAATTCAAGAGAAATGAAAATGATGTAATTAAAACACGAGAAAGAGTCAAAATTAGAAAGAAAAAATGATGCTATAAAATGGATATAACATTAACAGAGTAATGAAAGATTGATTGTTGTTTCTTTTACAACACATAAATTTAAAATTTGTTAACTCCATGATTCTTATTCATTATTTCGATGATCTGGAACTTCCCCTCTAACAATTCAATAATCTCAATTGATTGATCACTGGGTGGTGATCAATGTCATGCTTGTCTAGTCCTTATTAGTGCAGATCGAATGCTATCGATCATGTTGCAATGTGGCCACCAGTCTAGGTGACGCGACACTGCGGGCACTATATATTGAGATGATCACCACCCAGTGATCGGTCGCGGCTCGGATAGTTCAGTGGTAACGTCTCTGACTGTGAAGCTAGGTGACACTAGGTCGAACCCGCCAGGGAGAACCAGTTCCCTCAAGATTACAGGTACACCTTGCTAACGAGTGCCAAGTAGCACGAAACCTAGGTCGAAGGTTTCCTGTTGACTACCTCCAACCACCATCTAATTCATTAATCTGAAACAAATATTTACTATCTTATTAACGTTATCGGAATCTTTGTTATATCGTAATATACATCTTCATTTCTAATCACTTTTGTTTATTTACAAATATGCCAATTTCTATGATAATTTTGATTTTAAGACATTACATATGTCGTAAGTAGCTGATATGAATCTAGCGAAATAAAGTGAATTCATATTATTCTGCATCAATCTTTGTTTTATCTCTCCTCAAAATGATTGTTTTATTGTGTAATATATATATATATATATATATATATATATATATATATATAGAGAGAGAGAGAGAGAGAGGAGAGATAGATAATCACTAACCTTACTGCTCGGACGTTTGAGTACATCACCAATTCCGCCACCATTTAGTAGTCCTTCTCGTAAAGTTGTCAATATACACATACGTAGTGAATCACATCGACGTTCTGTACTATCAACAGCTTCTTAGTAAAAAGTCAATCGATTTATAAAATGATAAAACAAAGAAAAACTCAAGTAATTAAATTAAAGAGATTTTGACTAAAAATATAATTTTTGTAAAATTCTGAAGGGAACAGAAAAATTATGTATAAACACCGAAATTATACTGAAACTACGTATATATACAGACAAATATGGGACATTAGGGCAGAATGTTTTAATAAAAAATGATAAACTTTAAAGGCTTAACCAAATATAATGTCTCTTATTAATCTGTCCTCTGATCTTAAAACCTCTGCCGGTAAATGAATATCAACACTACTGGGCGAAAATGGACATTGCCTAGCAGTGGAATCCAGGATGCGAGTTTCCTACTATTTGCGACTCGTCAGATGGATGTACTTGCATCTCAGAGTTGATATTCACTCTGAGACTTGAAACCAGGATAATTCGCTTCAAACGTCATCGCGTTATCCACTTAGTTACTGAGTCCTGATAGCCACTAGCTTGTGCACTGTGATGAAGTTTTAATTTATGTTGTACCACCTCGGAGATGAAAGAACATCAATCTGACGAGTTCAAAATAGGACGAAACACGCCTCTTGGATTTTACTGCTTATAGTGCCTGTGACTTAAAGTAACATCGAGGTAATCCACACATGATGCACATATGCCAATAAGAGACTGATCGACTGCAGTTCTAAACACCAATGGGAAGATTCACACAAACATTACAAGATGAATTAATGTCAACACTAGTTTAAATGCTTTCATATTAATTAACATGTGTTCGACCAGAACATAGAAGTGACTTTAAACTCAGTCATTGCTTTTACAAAGAAGTTAACATAATCTTACAAGTTTTCGTGATTTTAACAGAAAATGAATTATGACCTGTAATACACAATTAATAGTGATACATGTTCAACAACCCAATCACAGGTCGACAAGCACCTCTTTCATATCACTACTAACTGTGATTTTAAATTTATGTGTACCTGCTGAAGCATCTACATTGGCCAATTAGAAAGAAAGGCATGTCTTGGATATTTTGAACAAGTTCCAAAACGCATTAGAACAATAGAAAGAACTACTATAAACAGAGTAATTATCTCTTGGACACAGGAAATCAGGTTGACACCTCGCAGTCTTTCCATGTTATTAATAAACAGCCAAGTTCCAATCTTCTGAAGTTTCCTGAAGTCGTTGATATCAGGATGCAGAAACTTGATCTATATATTCTAAATGAGATGGTTATTGATCTTTCCTTGCTTTAGTGTCATAAAATTTTGTTCAACTCTTTATTTCCATTAAATAAATCGTCTTTTTATTTAGACTGTTTTCTAGATTAGTAATCTCATTTTAATTAATTCAGCTTTGCTCATTTCATTTTACTTATTATTAGCGTTTACTCTTTACGTAATCACTTGTTTTTAGACCTTCGGACTCTTGATACAATCAACGCACCACCTTTGTATCTATACCAATATCAGTTAGTTGTAAAACACTACAGAATATAACCATGTGATTGTTTATTTTTCAGCTGTTTAAACCTCTCATTACATAAGTACTAAAGAAGAGGAAATTACTGAAACAGTTTAAGTAGAATTATTTCTAAACGAAATGCCATTTATTGTCCATTAAGTTTGTCTTGAGTTAACCTAGATAGATTCAATTTGAAAACTATTGTTGGCTGCTAGAATTTTGATGCTTTTACTCTCTGAGTTGGATGGTTTGGCTGCGGAAAGAAATGATTTCCAGAAAAATCATGATCCAAGAATCAAATCAAAGGGAGATACAATCAAAATAAAGAGGTAGACAATGACAGTTTAAAGGTTAACAATAACCAATCAAGATCACGGTCAACAGGACAAACTGAGTCATATGTGAAGAAATTCAAACCCTTCATTTCTACCTGAAGTTTGTACTGATGAAGTTGTTCAGAAGACCAATGCAAGCTCCACGATCAAACCATCCAACTCAGACAACAAAACTCTACTTAAATCACCAACCTGAGCTACAAATGTTCTTCACCAGTTGCTAGACTTGAATATATACATTGTACCCAGCTAGTTTAAATAATAAACAACTGGCAAGATAGTGTATATTAGATGAGTACAAATAAAGTAGAACTATAACATACAATGACTATTAGTTATTTCATCAATAAGCTCTCCTGAAGAATCCAATAAAATGAAGCATTTAACTTGATCAACATCCATATCCGATTTGTCCATCTAATCATACGGTTATAATATTCTTCTAAATTTGTCTATCTTAAAATCATGTTTATGTATAACATTCAGAATAGAGTCAGTGTCTTAAAATGTTGAAGTAGCAATACTTTGATCAGTGAATAAGGCAGAATATAAGTGATTTATTTGAAAACTATTATTTAATTATTATTAATGGTTTTATTCAATATTATATTTTGGTGCAATATAGAATTCATTAGTTTAAACCAATAATCTACTAATTCGTCAATTAAAGCTATAACACTATGGTAAACCTGGAAGCACTGAATGGCTGTTTCGTCCTACTATGGGACCCCTCAGCAGTGTGCATCCACGATCCCGCCTCACGAGAGTCAAACTCAGGACCTATTAGTCTCGCTCGCGAACGCTTGTACGTGTCGCTCAATTTCGTGGATTAGTCGAAGTTAGACATTCAAACCGTTGGATACCGGCTCAATGGTCTAATGGTTAAGCGTTCGCGCGCAAGACCAATAGGTCCTGGGTTCGAATCTCGGAAGTCGAAGTCTTGGATGAGCACTGCTAAGGAGTCCCACACTAAGACAAAACGGCCATCCAGTGCTTCCAGGTTTTCTCATAGTGTTCTAGCTTCAATTGACTCATGATCTTATCTATTAAAATTACTATAATATCCACAAAAACCTCTTCTGTCATTACAATATTGATATCAATAATTTATCAAAATGTTATTATCAATATTATTAAAAGTTATTAATGTAACTAACTTTGGTATTTTCATCAGTTTATTTGCCCTATTAATAGCACAGTATATGTTCACTACTGCTGATTACGTAATTCCGAAGTGAATTCAATTGATCTCCAACGACAATGTTCAATACTCTTACTTTCCAAGCATCAAATAAACCAACTATATAGAACCATTCTGATTTACAACTTAACTAATTATAAAGTATAAATATGTCAAAATGATTTCTTTTTTTTCTTATTTATAAACATTATCCATTATACATTCGATAAGTCTATTGTAAAATTAGACTAAACTAATGGATGGCATAAAGAAGAAGTTATTTATTACTGTTTTTTTTACAATTACAATAATGTTTACATAGAAATTACTTTATTGTTGCCAAGTCATTAAATTCAGATGACTAATTCAATATTTAAGTCATTAATGTAAGTAGTTCATTTAACTTATAATAACTATCTGATTTATTGGTGATTTGTTCTTTAAATTATATAAAGTCTACTGGAACTCATTGATTTATGCCTAACAACATATTTTCAATTCAACAACAAAATCTACGAACAAACGAAAGGAACACCAATAGGATCACCAATATCAGGACTGATCGCAGAGGCAGTGATGCAAAGACTAGAAGCCACTATATTACCAGTGATCAAGCCAAAATTTTGGATTCGCTGTGTAGACGACACTTTCGTCATAGTCAAAAAGAATGAGCTGGAAAACACTTACAAACTGATCAACAACGCTTTCAATGACATCAAGTTTACTATGGAACAGGAGTCAAACAATAAACTGTCATTCTTAGATATATTGATCACTAGAACGGACACAGGAAAACTGAAAACTCAAATATATAGGAAATCGACCCATACATATCAAATCCCTAACTACAATAGCAACAACCCAAGAGCTCACAAAATCAACTGCGTACACACTTTGTTCAAGAGGGCGAGGACACACTGCAGCACACTGGCAGCACGAAAAAATGAAGAGAAATACCTGAAGGACGTATTTTAAAAGAACGGCTACCCAATCAACTTCAAAATATACCAACCGCACGCAGCATCCAAACCCAATTCAAGCAGAGAAATCAACAAAAGGATCACCCTACTATACATACAAGGAATATCAGAAACCGCAACGAGACTGCTGAAAACCTTCGTGATAGGTGTGGCACACAAACCGACAAAATCACTACAATCAATCCTATGCAAACCAAAGGATGAAATAACAAAGGAAAACAAATCAGGCATCAGCTACAAAATAAGTTGTACCAACTGCGAAAAACACTACGTCGGACAAAGCGGACGCCCTCTTCACCTTCGCCTACACGAATATCAATTAGCAGTCAAACGCCATGATATCTCTTCACTTATATCAATACACGTGGACAACTGCGGACACTCATTCAATTGGAAACTCCAAAAACACCAGAAAATTTTTAGAAGCCTGGCACTCAGGTCAATCAGCAATCAACAAGCATATTGAAATCAATCCAATTTATCAACCAATCAGGAAAATCATGCATAAATATAGGATCACAAATCAAACCAATAGGAGACACATCCAAAACAAAAAAGTAAACAATGACAAATTTAAGGTCAATAAGAACCAATCAACATCGAGGTGCACAGAACAAGTTTTGAAATACATATGGAGAAATTCGAACACTTCACTTTTATCTGAAGTTTGTATTGATGATGTCGTTCAGAAGAACGATGAAAGCTCCGCGACCAAACCATCTAGCTCAGAGAACAAAACTCCACCAAAATCATCCACCTGAGCTACAAATCTTCTCCATCATGGTTTGGTTGTAAAAATTTTATTGTCAATTTGAATACAATGATCGGTACTTATTTCATAGAAAGTGAAATGCTTAGATCAATGAATTGATGTTGATAAGAACCAAAATGATAGCATTCATAATTAAACTGTTTAGTTCAGGCAATACAACATTAAGAAAAAACATCTAACTGAGCAGCTAATTTTTGACAGATCATAATAGCAGTATATTTTGAATGAACTATAAAATGGAACATTCATAAGAAACAAAAAAAATTCAAATGTTTACAATTAACTGATCATTTGGTACAGACCAATATCATTGTGCAATGTGGCCACTACTCTAAAAGACTCAATATCGTGTGCACTATCTTCAGATTTAAATGGTAGTTTATAGGGAACCATTGGTTTCTCATCATAAACATGTAGCTCTAATCTTCAGGGAACTGATGATCCCAGCTTTATAGACTGAGTTGTCTGGATCAAGAGCGACCTCCTGTAAGATTGAGATATTTAGAATTGACTGATCACAGAGTAGTGAATAATGTCATGTTCTTCTAGTCCATCAGGGAACATCAGTTGCCCCAAGATTACAGGAATGAATTACTGACAAGTATCGAATGGTTCGTTCGAATCCTAGCTCTAGAGATTTCTGTCAACTACATTAAATCACTTAACATATTCGATCATTACAGTAAACTTTACAAATAAAAATATTAACTGTTATTTACAACTTAATTTTTTGGACATGATATTATTATTACAAATAAACATATAAACAAACCATTGTCATTTGTTACATCGATTTCGATAGTAAAATCATTTTGAAAATAAGCATATCCAATGATGGAATATAAGTAGATAATGATAAGTGCTAATATCCCAGTTAAGAAAATTGATCGACCATTTTTAGTCACTGATCGTACAACATTCAACAACGTCTCTTCACGTGTGATCACATCAAGTAACTAAAATTCAATAACAAAAATATTATTTTATTATATTATATTATTTTGTAATGGGGAAGAAGATTTATAGCTCAGGTGGACGATTTTGATGGAATTTTGTTTCCTGAGCTGGATGGTTTGACCGTGGTCTACTACTTGAAGTTTGTGCTGATGATATCGTTCAGAAGAATGACGGAAGCTTCGCGACGAAACCATCCAGCTCAGAGAACAAAACTCCACTAAAATGATTATTTCGTGTCAAATAATAACTAACGTTAGCCTTACATTTCATATAATTATACTTTACAAAATGCAGGAGCAAACTGAACAGTATATGATTGAGATCATGATCTGATTGATGTTAGACCACCATTGAAAATCTAGAAGTACTGGACTGCCGTTTCGTCCAATTGTGGAACTCCTCAGCAGTGCACATCCACGATCCTGCTCGCGAGATTCAAACTCAGGGCTTCTAGACTTGCGTACAAACCCCTAACTTCTAGAACACTTAGCCGGTCGGCATCCAATGGTGTTAATGCCTAACCTCAACGAATCCACGAAGTTGCGCAACCATCTTCCACTGCACTGAGGTAGATATCTGTCCCTACCCGACATGGATTAGCTCCACTGGTCAGTGGTGGTCTAACATCAACCGGTTCATGAACTCAATCAAAAACTTAACAATCTCCACAACCCCTAAACTGAACAGGATATCTTTGAATTTTTTAAATAAGATTCAATTCGACAGAATAGTCCCTAGTCAATATACTAAAAATGATTATTCGTCTTGTCACTTACAAACAACGATTTATTACTTTTTAATAATCAAATGATGTGAATGAATAATATGAAATGTTTTGTAGACAATAAGAAAGTATAAAATATATCTACTATTTTAAAACGATAAAATATTCACACTGTATTATGCATTCAAGGAGAAATTCTTAGCTTATTAGTAGAGTGTCTTTTTGTTTATACTAAAAATATAAACAAACTACGGTACAGTCCCCAGATTGTTATATTTTAAATTATATACTTGGGTATTTCTTCATAGTTTACCAACAACAAAAATATAAATGTTACATAATTATTGTTATTCTTTTCATCAGACCAACTGGTTACTTTATTGGAAAAAATAAAGTATTGAAAGGTATGCAACAGATCTCTGTCTAATGTAAACCATAAAATAGGATTCAATGAACTTTCAAACTAGACGTAATTATCATCAAACCATGATGATATGTTCATAAAAATTTCACTAGTAATAAAATACAAATAAATGTCAATCTATGTTTATCAGACTAGAGTTGTATAGATTTTTTATTATTAATTGAGTTCATGAATTGATCAATATTAAGACAGACCTCTAAGTCTCAACATCTAATAGGTTACATAACTCGAAACCTTTACAACAATGAGTCACGTATCTTAATGTACAAAGTTTGTGCTTGACCTCTTCTAGAATATTGCACGTTTATTTTTAGCAGTGCGCGTATGAAGGATAAATTAAGGCTGAAATCAGTACAGAGACGATTTACACCTTGTGTTCTTGGAGATGATTGTAACTTATAATTCTAGATGTAATAAACTTGGGCTAGACCCTTTATGGAAGAGGAGACTCAAATTAAATCTTATCTTTTTCTTCAAACTACTTAATAAACTATCCTTTACATCCAATCACGTGATTCAATATGCAGAAACGTCTCATTATGACATCCGTAATTCCTTGGCACTAGTGAAACAAACTTATTCTAAATCATCTCTTTATACGAATCACTTTACCTGTAAATTTTTTAGACTTTGGAATAACCTACCACAATCTATTCGTACGATAAAATCACTCCCATTATTTGTTCGCTGCATCGATGCATACTGCTCCTCTGAAAATGCATTGAATGTTCTAGCGCCTTTAAGTGTACCTCATTCCACAAGTGATATTTTAGGAACCTTAAATGTTTAGCCATCTTTATTAGTACATTCCCTAAGTAAAACCACCTACTTGCTGTCACTTTATGTTAACACCGTCCCCAGAAAGTTTAACTAATTTGAATAACATCAACAGTATATCAGTGAGTCACATGACACACGCATTTAAGTAGACCTGATTCATATATTTTGGTAATTACTGCTTTATTTTTCCGTGCTCTCTGTTTTTGTTTTACTTTCTCTAGTTGTAGATAATTATCATTAACTCGATCTGACACACGACATGACTTTAATTACTCCGTTCATAAATCAACGGGCTGTCCATTTAAGAAATATTAAAAATTCCCGCCTGATGCATTGGATCGCTGTAATACATGTACTATTTAAACAACTACTGAACTAGTATACTTAAAACTTTCTTCTATCACATGTTTGTTCTGTACATCTAATGTTACTATTTCTAGCAAATTGATCATGGTTGTAAACTGGCGTGGATTCTGTAATTTTTGTTTTCAGAATATAAAGTTATTATTATTAATATTAAACCACTATTGAAAACCTGAAAGCACTGAATGGCTGTTTCGATCTAATATAGGACTTTTCAGGAGTGCACATTCATAATCTCGCACACTGAATTTAAACTCAAGACTTTCGATCTAGTGCAAACTCTTAACCTCTAGACCATTGAACCGGCATCCAACCGTGTTAATGTTTAACTTCGATCCATCTAAATTCTTTGTTGCGATTAGAAGCAAAGATCCTATGAAAGTCGTTGACCAACTCTTGAATTTTCAATATGAATTTATCAAAACTAGTATTAAACCAAATATAAAAAGGTTATGTAGGTAAATGCTTCACAGTTGACACAATTGAACTCAAGTTGTCTATGCTTTACATATATACACTAAACCTAGTAAACATTGTTTTATAAAAACAAAATAACACTATAGTTGATACATTTCAGTATCGATTATATTATTCTAGTGTTTGAATGAACTGATTCCTTTGTACTTTTTGAATGCTTGATCTCGAATACCAAATACAGTACATTCGTTTGTGGTTATCTAGTACTTCTTGATCCTATTACGTTATTTCTGGGATTCTTGGTTCGTAATATAGTTCAAATAATCCTAATTATCAAATCGGCGTCGCCATATAGCCTGTGATGGAACGGTTGAACACACATTCAGATTTTAATGCTTTTGAGGATTACTTTGAAAGGTTCGAACTGTGGGCTATGACCAAGGAAGATGGTGAAGATGTTAATATTGTAGCACATTTCCTCACATTCACCAGAAAAGAACCATATAGCTTATTAAAAACTCTGGCCTTACCGGAAAAGCCCATTTCGCTTCGTCATACAGCTCTCAAGGATCTACTGCTAGACTATGTTCTGTATACAAATCTCGAATGTCGTAGAGGAGGAAGATTTCATAAAATGATTCATGAGGATATAACAAACTCCCCTGCATTACGTCATCCCAACCCAGTGCATACTCAAGGTTATGCAGATAATTCATTGAGGAGTTGCGATGCAGTTCACGAAGATGGGCAAAAGTTTGGTCAATGTTTGTCTTGTGGCAGGTTCCACTTTTCGTAATTCTAAGTGCTTTAAATGTGGTGGTATTTGGCATATTCAGTCAGTTTGTAATACTACTGTTCATCTTGCTGCAATTAATATTAAGTCTTGTAATTCTGGTTCTATTAAGTTGACTATTTATAATCATCATTTATCTTTATCAACGATTTCAGAAGATATTGTAGAGTCATATAGCAGTCCAGAATTAAATGGAACTCAGAATCCTTGTGAGACAAATGTTTCTAATCAATCAACTTCTTATCAGATTTCCTATATTATTATACCAGATATGGCTTTTCCTAAAGATCCACTTGTTTCTGACAAAATTTCTTACAAATCTGAAGAAAATATGTTGAATGAACCTAGTCATGATCGAAAACCTGATGTAGTTTTGATGGATGCTGATTTTTCTAATGATCCTTTACTCTGCAATGACATTCCTAATAAATTTGAGGAAACTATTTCAGAAGAATCAAATCGTGATGTTCTATCAAATATTATTTCTCCTCATAGTGCATTTGTTTCTTGTGGGAAACTTGTTCAATGGGAAGCACAAGTACTAAATGAGCTCGAGTTTGATTACAATTCGGATGATTTCATATCAACTGCTGTTTATCCTTATCATGAAGTCACTTCTCATGTATACTCTAATCAATTTGAGAAATATGTTTTAAATGAAGCCACATCATTCATAAATTGGGGATATAAAGATCCAACATTATTTCGTGGGGGGGGATAGTTTTGGGAAATCTGTGCTTTAAATCCTAGATAGTGGTTTCGGTACACAACCGACACGGCGATTGTATACAATCCCAGGAACCAAGTGAGTCCGTTCCGATTTCGGTTGTTAATTCCAATACTAATGACCACATTCTAGATAATACATAATTTTTATCCAATACACTGTCCGACAGACACAGGATGAACTTGAGGAGAAGACATACAATTGATTACAGACAGTTAGACTCCAATTTAAGCTGTGGCGGATGTGATGTTTGAATGAACTAATGATTCCATTTTACTTGTTGAATGCTTGATTTCGAATTCTAAATACAGAACATTCATTCGTGTTCGTCTAGTACTTCCTGATCCGATTGCATTATTTCTGAGATTCTTAGTTCATACTATAATTCAAATACTTCTAATTATCTATAGAAATCTAATACACAAAATAAATTAAAACATACATATCTATGTATATCTATGCATAGATGATCACTTACTACAAGACTATAAAAGAATGGATGTATCACAATTCCAAAACCAGTAAATATAATCAATATCAATTGATGTATTAATTGATAATGTAATTGATTTCTATTTGGAATATTGACATGAAATAAAGACAATTGATGATGAATAGATTTTAATAATTTATAACCAATTAAGAATAGATTATTATGATTATTATTACTGTTCCACCATAATGATAATTGTATAAATGAGAATGTTTTTTTCGGATGAAACAATATTGTTTTCTCTTTATTATTTATATAGTTTAAATATGTTTGCCAATTTATTTCATTTGTATTCATTTGATTAGAAAATAAACAAGTTTTATAATTTTTTATAAGAGAATATTGTTTATATATAATGAATAGATTGGCAAATCTGAAAATGAACTAAAATTGTTAAAAATAGAAACCAAACGTAAAGTATTATCAGAAGTGGGTTTTGTGAAGATTATAGAAAGTTCAATAATTGAAATCATGAGTCAATTGAAACTAGATCATCATTGTGTACGGTGGCGGAATTTCGTGGATTGGTTGAAGATAGACATTACCACTGTTGGATGCCGGCTGGCTCAGTGGTCTAATGGTTAATCGCTCGCGCACGAGACTGACAGGTTCTGGGTTCGAATCTCGTAAGAGGCGGGATCATGGATGCGTACTGCTGAGGAGTCCCATACTAGAACGAAACGGTCGTCCGGTGCTTCCAGGTTTTCCATGGTGATCTAGCTTCAATTGAATCATGATTTCAACTGTTGAAATGTAGAGTAGTTAATTAAATGGAAATAATAATATCCGATTGTTATTAAATTTAAAACAATTAGTCCTTTTGATAATGCAATGAGAAGATGAATTTTATCAGAATGATGTAATGATATATTTGTGCAATACACTTCGAAAAATCTAATCACATAATGTACTTGTTGAGACATTTTTATATTAGTCATTGAGATCTTGAACCGACTAATGTTAGACCACCATTCAAAACCTGGAAGCACTGGAAGGCCGTTTCGTCCAATTGTGGGGACTCCTCAGCAGTGCGCATCCACGATCCTGTTCGCGGGATTCAAACTCAGGGCTTTCAGCCTTGCGTACAAACACCTAACTTCTAGACAACTGAGCCGGTCGGCATACAATGGTGTTAATGTCTAACGTCAACCAATCCGGCCCTTGCTATTGACTAAAACACTAAGGAAGTAAAAGATGAATACTATCGAACGCTTTATGATTATCTTCAGAAAACCAAACATTCAGATATTAATAATGACTTGAGATCTTAGAACCTAATTAAATAGCCAGCGTTAGATTGAAAGATCAATAATCTCGTTTTTTGGTATCTTAGCACAATGGTAATGATGACAATCTGTTATATCTATTCTCATGCAACTGTCTATGGTTGGTATAAATCAATAACCCAATAACTTTAGACCACTGCAAACGTTTGTTGCATGGATAAATTCTAACTTTATTACATCCAGTTTTCATACTATATATGTCAATAATATTTAAGAATAAAACTAAAAAGGAGTAAATTTTACTTTGAAATTTTCATGCCGAAAAATAAAATTAGATTCACGACCAAATAGTTCATCTTCAGCAAATTTACATTCTTGTAAACAATAACAAATTACAATTGTAGATAGTATATGCTATGGAATAGAAAGAACAATGTAAGGCAAAGTGAATTATAGCTAACAAGGGAAAGAAACTAAGACTATCATTATGTTATATTCGATACTTAACTTCTGAATTTATCTACACTTTGTAGTATCAATGATCAAAATGGAACTCAGAAACATAAGAAACTGGTAATGTGCCACCGTTCACCATTGTCTTCACTGAGTTACTATCTCGTAATAGACCTAGTTGAAGTTAGACATTAACACCACCGGATGTCGGCATAATGGTCTAGAGGTTTAGCGTTCACGTTCCAGACCGACATGTCCTGAGTTCGAAGCCTGAGAGCGGGATCGTGGATGTACACTGCTGAAGAGTCCCATACTATGACGAAACGACCGTCCGGTGTTTCTGAGTTTTCCATGGTGGTCTAACTTTAGTGGACTCATGAATCCAACTACTGAATTACTACAATGTCCACAAAAGCCCCTTCTGTTAAAAAACTGCTAATATGCTGTTCAACGAGTTAATGACTCCGTCTAACCATTAACTTATTAAATGGGTATGATGTTTTTAAAGAAAATCTCTGTAATATTATTCATAATCTATCTACTCTAAATAACTTTTGATATAGTGACTTAATCGAATCAGTATGTACAGTGGTGCACCTATACCAACTAAGAGATAATCAAAATTCATTCCTGAATATCAATAACCAACCAACTCAAACACTCACTAAGATAAATATTGCCTAGTAGTGAAATCCATGACGCACGTTTCATCTTATTTGGGACTCGTCCTATGGATATGCCTACGTCCCAGAATCCTGGAATTCACTCCAAGTCTTTAACCCAGTACCATTCAATTGGAACATCATTGCGTTATCTACTTAGTTAAAGTAATTATTTAAACTGTTTTGTACATTGTATTTCAGTTTGCTAGTGGAAGTTATTTGATTTAAAACATCTTCAAATCGTTTTGCTCAAACAATGAAGCACATGTGTATGCAATACTTATTTGAAATTAATATCCAAGATTAAATCATTTAATTCAACTGATAGTTATGAAATGGACATTGTTAGATCAAGTGTATATTAAGAATTTATAAAGAAAATGGATAATTTTATGTTTATAGGGGTGTTGATACTAAAACTACTAGCTATCTGTAACACCAGAATAACAGACATCTTACTTAGTTACTTACGCCTGTTACTCCCAATGGAGCATAGGCCGCTGACCAGCATTCTCCAACCCACTCTGTCCTCCGCCTACTTTTCTAGTTCCATCCAATTCTTGTTCATTTTTTTCATGTCTATTTCCATTTCTCGGCGTAATGTGTTCTTTGGTCTTCCTCTTTTCCTTTGACCTTCAGGATTCCATGTGAGGCATTGTCTTGTGACGCAGTTGGGTGCTTTCAGCAATGTGTTTCCAATCCACTTCCAGTACTTCTTCCTGATTTCTTCCACCGCTGGGATCTGGTTTGTTCTCTCCCACAGTAGGTTGTTGCCAATAGTGTTTGGTCAACGGATTTGAAGTATTTTGCGTAGACAATTGTTAATAAACACTTGTATCTTGTGGATGATGGCATTCGTAGTTCTCCAGGTTTCCACCCCATACAGTAGAACCGTTTTGACATTTGTATTGAAAATCCTGACCTTTGTGTTGGTTGACAGTTGCTTTGAGTTCCAGATGTTTCTCAGTTGTAAATATGCTGCTCTTGCTTTGCCGATCCGCGCCTTCACATCTGCATCAGATCCACCGTGTTCATCAATGATGCTGCCCAAATATGTAAAGGTTTTTACATCTTCCAAATCTTCTCCGTCAATTGTGATTGGATTGGTACAGCCATCTTAGAATTTCATATTTCTCATGGAACTACTAAACTAAAATATCTACTTAATGTTTAAATTTTATTCCATTGAAATGTTTCAATCGTCGATGTTTCATTTTCTTCTTTTAATGACTGAACTCTGTGTTGTCTCCTTTAGAATATCAATATAGGGGTGTGGAGATTATTATGATTTTCATTGAGATCAGGAACCGATTAATGTTAGACTACCTTTGAAAACCTATAAGCACCGGACGGCCGTCTCGTCCTATTGTGGGACTTCTCAATAGTGCTCATCCACAATCCCGTTCGCGGGACTAGCTTTGTGAGAAGCCGTAACCAGTGGAGCTAATCCATGTCGGGTAGAGACAGGTATCTACTTCAGTTCAATGGAAGACAGTCGCGCAATTTCGCAGATTCATTGAGGTTAGACAATAACACTGTTGGATTCCGGCCGGCTCGGCGGTTTGGAGATTAGGCGTTCGCGCACGAGACTGGAGGCCACAGGTTCGAATCCCGCGAGCGAGACCGTGGATACACGCTGCTGAGGAGTCCCACAGTAGGGCGAAACGATTGTCCTTTAGAATACTCAACACCTTACCTTTAAGCTCAATTTTTATAATGACTAATATATTCGTTTATCATTCAACCTAGTTTCTAAAGTATTCAAAATGAATCATTAATGAGGTATACATTAACTTAACTATCATAACTGTCCGAAAGTGAAATTATTACATAATCACCTCATTTTCAATTAAAAGAAATAATTTATGATTGTAGACATTTTTATATTCAGTAGTTTTAAGTAGTTTATCACACACAAAACAAACTAATATAAGAGCATTACTTACTTGTAAAGTGGCAAGTATAACACTTGAAATAAAATAACAAAATACAAATGAGATAATTGCTATGATAGGAAATGCAATTAATGTTGGCGGTCTCTAAAAAATTAAAACAAAATTCAATTCAATAAAACAAATTGAATACAAAACAAAAAACTTCATCGTTTTACCACTTATAAAATGAAGAAAATAAAAGTTGATGAGTCACTGTTATAATTATATATATAAAACGAAATATTTCAGGATGGAAATAAATACATTTATAGCTTGAATGGTTAAGATCATGAGTCAGTTGAAGCTAGACCGCCATAGAAAACCTGGAAGTACTGGACGGTCACTTCGTCTTATTGTGGGACTCCTCAGCAATGCGCATCTACGATCCCACCTTGCGAGATTCAAACTCGAGACCTATCGGAATCGCGAGCAAGCGCTTAACCATTAGATCACTAAGCCGTACTGCATCCAACGGTGTTAATGTCTAACTTCAACTAATCCACGAAATTGAGTAACATATCCACCATTGTCTTCAGTGAATTACTACCTCACAACAGACCTAGTTGAACTCCACTGGTCACAGCTTCTCACATTTAGAATTATCAGAAAGGAGTTTTATGGAGATTGTAGTAATTTAATAGTTAAATTCATGAGTTAATTAAGGCTAGACTACCGTGGAAAACGTGAAAGCGCCAAACGGTCATTTCGTCATAGTATGGGACTTTTTTGCAGTGTACATCCACGATACTCTTTTCAGGATTCGAACTCAGGACCTATCGGTCTCGCGCACAAACGGTAAACCTTTAAACCATTGTACCGGCATCCGTTGGTGTTAATATCTAACTTCAACCAATCCACCAGCATTTTGCCACCGTCAGTTACTATCTCGCAGCGGACTAGGTTGAACTCGCATAATCACTTGAAATGCCGTCATATATAATGATGAAATCAAACAGAATTTCTTACTTGTCATTGTTTATTTTTGTATCAGAATTTGTTCAAATAAAAAAATACTTAACTTGGTCAAATCTTTAACTAAATCACAGATTCTATGATCAAAATAGGGTTTTACCAGTGGGATAGAAATCTAATTAAAGTATATAAATACAATTACTAATCATAGGTATGTTGATTGTTGAGAAAGTTACGTATTATGTAAAGTTATTTCAATGGATTTGTCTAATAAAATCTCGCTTGTTATATCACCCTTAGAAAAATACAAGTCTTAGGTATAGAGTTGTTCATTATAAGTTTCTTTTTTGAAATAACTAAGATATTCATTTTGTAGCACAATCACGTTTATGGAGTTTTGTTCTTTGAGATGGATGATTTAGTCGTGAAGCCTTCATTGTTCTTCTGAACAACATCATCAGTATATACTTTAGGGTAGAAGTGCTGAACATTTTATAGACAAACTTACCATCTTTTACTACTTATTATTATTTACTTCAAGATGTTATATCTAGAGCTTAGATTTTTAACATACCGCGTACAACTAAAGCACTCGAATGCTAGAATCCTCCAAATGAGAAGATAGAAGACAAGTGAAAGAAACGCTATTTGAAAACAGTGTCAATTATGGTACAAAACTATCAAGTATTTATAGTTTTTTTTTCTTTTAGTAAAAACCTAATCATCATTATAGTCCTCCAGTCCGCATCTGTTCAACAGGGAAGCTACGCATAGAGATTCTTGAATGTTCTTCCAAAAGTTGATTAAATGAAATATCTTCTGCTCTTTCTTTTAGAACTTCTCCAAGTTCACTCGTCGGTCATCTTCACAACAAAAAAAGCGGGGTCATGGATGCGTACTGCTGAGGAGTCCCACAATAGGACGAAACGGCCGTCCAGTATTTCCAGGTTTCCAAAGGTGTTCTAGCTTCAATTGACTCATGATCTCAACTGTTGAAATTACTACAATCTCCACAAAACCTCTTCTGATACTAATCAACATATACACATTAGTGACTGGTTTCAAGAGGTATATGCTGGAGTTCTAGTGAGAAGCAGTGACCACTCGAGTTCAACCGGGTCAGTTGTGGATTAGTTGAAGTTAGGCATTAACACCGTTGGATACCGGCTGGCTCAATGGTCTAGTTGGTTAAGCGCCTGGCGCAAGACTGATAGGTCCTGAGTTCGAATGTTGCGAAGCGGGGTCGTGAATGTGCACTGCTGAGGAGTTCCACAATAGGACGAGTAGGCCGTCCAGTGCTTTCAGGTATTCTGTGGCGGTCTAGCTTCAACTAACTCATGATTTCAATTGTTGATATATCTTTTATTGTTATTCAATTATTAGATTAACTTTTAATAAGGAATAACAATCAGTAGGCTATAGAATATTCCATTCAATTACTACTGTTATAACTTGTACAAAGTATTTAAAACTACAATTTTTATAGACATGTGATTACTTCATTTCATTCAATTCACAAATTAATTAAATAATGATTAATTATGTAATTGATAAAATACAAAAATCTTGGATGATTTTTCTTCCTTTTCTTTCCTCTTCTTCTTCTTCTGAACTTCATTATAGAATATGATTAATTAGTTGTTTTGAAATAAATTAATTCATTTATAAAACAACAATGTAGAATAATTAGATAAGATCGGTTTAGTGGTTGTGGTGATTGTTAAGCTTTTGATTGAAATCATGAATCGATTGATGTTAGACCACCATTGAAAACCTGAAAGCACTGGACAGCCGTTTTATTCTATTGTGGGACTCCTCAGAAGTACGCATCCACGATCCCGCTTCGCGAGACTCGAACCCAATAGTGGTCTAACATCAATTGGTTCATGATTTCTATCAACAATTAGATCAAAACATTGTTAGCTATCGACTAAATGATTTAGAGGTTAAGTATTTGTGCGCACGCGAATTGATAGCTTCTCAGTTTGAATCCTACGATCAGATGTACACTATTCAGGAGTCCCATACTAGAATAAAACAACTAACTATCGAATACCTTCAAGTTATCCATGATAATCTAATTCCAATTACCTCATGAATTCAACTAATAAATTACCACAACACCCCCCCTCTTCTGATAATAACTTTGAATGTTTACTTCCTAAAATAGTAATAACAATAATGATAAATGTTTACATCTAATTCAATGATAATTGCTAACTGTTTTTTGTACAACTTTGTTTATATTTATATATAGATATCTATCTGTTGTGATGACATATTTTATTTTATTTTTTTCGAATAGTTAAATTCGTTTCTTTTCTTGTTCTGCCCGCGCTATTTATTTTATGTTCAATTTTCAAGTTGTTTCTTCCCGCTGATGTGATCAATGGTAATATCAATAATAATAATAATAATAATAGGCAGCTGTAGGGAATGAAAGGTATTGTTCATCTGTATACATCATGTGGTATTATGATAAATATATGAATAGGGTGAATAGGGGAACAATAGTTAATAATAATAATAATAATAATAATATTATTATTATTATTATTATTATTACAAATTCTCTTTATCTAAAATGGTAATGACACAGCATAGTTACTTCTTATCATATAACCACCCCCCTACCCCACCCCTTCAAAAAAACCTGTCATTCACGTTAGAAACCAAGCAAAATATGACAAATAGTTAAATATTGACAACTAGAGTTAAACAGAAGGGAAATTATAGAGAAGAAAAAAAAGAAGAAAAAAGAAGAAAAAAAGGAGAACAATTAATAATCGAGAGAGAAAAAAAAACACACACAACAGATTGTTGAATAAATGTGTTCATTGTATGTTCTAATTGTGATCCTATGAATAAATTCAATTCATATTTGATCAACTTATCAGTTGATTTTTATTTATTCAAAGATTTAACGTTTTTGAAGGATTGATAGTGTTGGTTACTATGTTAAGCCTATAATATGAACTTATTCTAGATTTTGGACAAGTCAATTTATCCATTGTTCTTAAGCGACATTATGATCATGTTAATTAATCCACTTATCAACCTTGAGTATGCTTTTTTTATGAGCGTGTGTGAGTGTGTACACTGCTTATCCTATTCACTACATGTAACTTATTTTTATCTGGCTATAAAATATTGATTAACGCTTGATTAAAAGGAGTTGGTTCACATGCCTTCTCCACTGAGCATCGTTGTGTTTTGTTCCTTTGATCGTCTGCTTGAATCAATGATTGTACAATATACATATATATCAATAATGCGGGTTAAATCGATGAAATATACGAGGATCACCGACATGTGTACCTCAATAACATTCATACAATCCAAATGGAGTCAGATATCAGGTCATTAAATATTCATTTAATGATAATATAATTTTTGACGTGATAAATTGATATCAGTTGAAGAATAACTTAAAACAAGACTGTACTAGTTATGTTCTCACTCACAAATCCTCATTGGAAGGAATATAGACTCTTCAGTTCAATAGTGTATTTGATGGATGAACGTCAGTGTTAGATAATTTTTTTAGATTAGATGGGACTTATAATGCAGTCAGATCGTTTTCTTGAATTGTTGTCTTACTACTGAATAAGATTATTTGATGGACCACATCATTGTATTATAACTTGAAGAAATCCATCTCAACACTAGTCGTCATATATATATATAGCACAAAAGATTATGTGAAGGAAAGAAACACACAAGTGCTTTGTAAGCATTTGTTAATCTTTTTCTTTCAACTACCAACCAGACTTAAATTCACTTAGTGTTTGTTTATTTGTATCTTTCCATTGTTATTTATGACCTAAGGCATCGTAGTATGGGACTCCTCAGCAGTGCGCATCCATAGTCCCGCTCAGCGAGATCCTAGGATGAAACGGTCGTTCAGTGCATCCAGATATTCCATGGTGGTCTAGTTTCAATCTCCAAAAAATCCCTTTCTCACTATGTATAATCTTTAATCCTTGTCAAAATATTGATAATTCTGTATTTCTATTTTCAAAAGTCAATATCTCATACCGATTTCTTATGTCATTAATATAATTGTTTCCATATTGATTAGCCTAGTTTAATCCATAATATCATGTTTTGGAGTGTATTTTTTGTTGTAATATATTCTACTTTCTTTGATCAAAGTAATAGAGAGATTGTAGCTAATGAGATTAAATTTCTATTGCCCAAAGGTACATTTCAAATCTGGTTATACGAATATGATAAGATTAGTATTACGTAATAGGTTAGTTATCGACAGATATTCAGTAATCGAACGATTATTCGCAAAATTTCGCTTCACATTTTTGAGAATAGTGTCCAACGTTTTGAGGGGATAAAACGTGTAACCTTTGAGTGATCAGTATATTTAAATCAGTCATTCAGTCAGCTACAACGTAGGACTAGGCACATATATGCATCGGTCCAAGTTGCCATACCTCATTAGCACAACAAGATGAACACCGAATTCATAAAAGTAGTTATAACAATGGTAGTAATGTATAAAGGAAAGATTGTGTATAAGGATATAATACAGGAAGAAAGAATTAGTTGGTAGAAAGAAAGATATAAGGCAATTTTAATCTTATAGTTTAAGGGAAGAAAGAGAGGATACACTGACTCCATTGTGATCGATCCTGAGAAATGTCATCCAGAGTTTCCAACCATTGGTTACGATATTCACGCGCACCCCAACCAAGCAGTCTGCATCTACCAACATGGCTCAGATTCTAGGGTTTCAGACAAGGAGGCCTGTTGACTTGTGGTGCGTACGTTGAAGGCTCCAATGTGTAGTTTGGGGCGAGGGTTCAGTAGACATGGGACAGTATTCTGCGCAATAGAATCGTTGGCTATAGTGACACTTAAGGAGGAAGGCAGCATTGCTGTTATGCTGATTGTCTGAAGGAAACACTTTACTGCCGTCAAACCTCTGTACAGTCAACAGTATGACTTCGCCATCGCACCTTGGATTTGCTGCTTTTAGTCTTACCATTCTTCAACCGACCTGTCTGGCATGGTAGGACCGTGAGGAACGATTATTCCAGCCAGTATAGCTCGACTGGTTCATCACAGTAGTCGCTTAATTGATTCGATGATTCATTCATCTCACTATGTAATACATATATACATTTTGATCCTAATCATTGACTTGCTCATTCGACTCGCACGCTTACTCGCTCACTTACTTGCCCGCTTGCTTTTCAGCACTACTCTTTCATGCTTGTGTAACGTACCTATGATTTTGGTGATCTGTGCGTGGTGCAATAATAAACGTAATAAACACTTCGTATTCATCTTCTGTTTAATACACCGTTGAGGAGTTATGATATGATGGTTATTAGGACGAATTGTATACAAAGTTTAAGGATGATATTGAATACCGACCACCATACCTCATAATTCATCCAATTCTGTTTTTATTCTGTAGGGCCAGTGAAATGTCACTGAGCCCTAGTCACTGAATATCGAACAGATCATCGACCCATGTCAAGGTTAAGGACAATCAACGCGCATCAGTTAATCGTACTACATGGACTGACCCATGCAACAGTGGTCATACTTTCGCTTGTATCTACTTTAAATAATAAATTTCTGTAATGACGTCCTTTATGTTGTACAGTCTTCAGAGTATCTCTAGTATCTTGATACAGTGATGCGGTAATCCACGTAAGGTATTGACCGAGAGGTGTGACTTCAACGTTAGTTGATTCGTCATACTATTCCCATCTAACTTTAATCGGCCCACAATCATTTGACATTGATCATCTACATTGGTGATCTATAATTCGAATTTCTCTCTGTTACCCTTTCTATTCTCTTTAATTAGATCTTCTCGGTTTTCCTACTATCAGGCATTCCATTTCTGATACTACTTATATCTATCAACATATAAAACATACACCACATTATTATTATCAATGTTAACAAACAAACAGATAAAAAAGTGTTTAATTCTTACCAGAGAGAAATAAATTAATCCAAACATTGTTGCTATCGCTGAACTAGCTAATTTCGCTAATGTTAGTAAAACTTCTGACCATCGAATTAATTCTATTATATTATTTAATGATTGAATAGTTACTAAACTAGAATTTAATTGTTTCCATGATTTGTAAAATGATTGTTTTTCAATAACTAAATAGAATAGAATTAAAAGAAAAAATTTTAAAAAAAGAATTTGGAATACTTTAGGTTATGAAATAGGTATTTATATAATATTGTGGTGTGTGCTACTTATATTGACATAAGTAGTAGATGATGATAGTCATGAACAGAATGTCTGGCAGTAGAGAGACAAGAGGATCGAACAGTAATGGACAATGAAGTCTGAGTCATTTTGAGATAGTTGGTGGACATTTTGTAAATTGAGTATTTACCTTATGATTGTTAGATTTTATTAACAAGTCCTGTAATTTTATGTCAAGTGTATGCAATTGTCCCCGCCCGTGTTCTGTTCACTACAGTATGATCAAGGTATCAACACTGAATATCTTCGTCTTAACATCAGTTTACATATATGGTGCATTATATAGACTGTGTAGTTATCCAGTTTCATCAACAATGGGTCAAGATTTAAATAGTTTTAATAAAAACTCTCTGAAATATTACCCTCATATAATCAATCTAATTATGTTTTTATATTCACTTAGTATTGTTTACTTGAATCTTCCGATAGTTATTTAGGACTACAAATGATCAGTCTCTTATTGGCATATATACATCCTGTGTAGTTTGCCCCGATATTGCCTAAACTCACAAGAATTATAAGCAAAGGTGGGTAGTGGTTAGCAGTGGTTCCAGAAAGCACGTTTCGTCCTATTCGGGACACGTCAGCTGGCGATACCTGAATCTCAGATTTGATGTTCACTCCAGTACCTAAGCGAACCCAGCCTTTGAAACGAATGGTACTGGGTTCGAGTCCCAGAGTGAACATCAAATTTTAGATGCAAGTACATCCATCTGACAAGTCCCAGATAGGATGAAACATGCGTCCTAGATTCCAATGCTAACCACTATCCATCTTTGTTTAAATATGTTTTTGTTATTCAATACAGTATTATGATTAGATGAATAATTAGATATTTCATTTGGAAATTACTAAATTTAGACAGGTCAAGTCCTAGTAACGTGATATACATTGATATACAGATTTGATTAATTATACAATCTCGTGATGTTATACTAAGACTATTCCTTCCTTATTAAACGATATAAATATCAAATCGTTACATTAATATACATTCGCAGATTGAATTTGTTAAAAGTCAACGTCATTTGGGATATCATTCAAATTTTGGGAGCACTAGACTACTGTGTATAGATGTAGTGTCGGTTGCTATGTTAAGCCCACATAGCTTATTATAGATTTCAGACAGGCCAATGTATTCATTCTTGTGGAGTCATATTTTGACCTTGGTAATCATTTGCCTATCAACCTTGACGGTTTTTATGTGAGCATATGTGTGTGTATGTGCATTTCCTAACTTACTCATCACATATCTGTAACTTACTTTTGTTTGACTAGAAATATCGATCGACGCTTGATTAAATGGAGTTGGCTCACACTCCTTCTCCACTGAGCATCACTTGGTTTCGCTCCTCTTATTCCTCGTCGCTCCCATGGTTTTAACTCTGATTGTCTGTTTTCAGATCAACTATTGTCTGAGATACATAGATTCAATGGTCATTCTTGTATTTGACTTATTTCATTCCATCATTCACTAACGCGATTTAAGTTGATAATTATATGCAAGGATTGGAGATATGTATATTTCAATAATAATCATCCTATAATCCAAACGGAGTAAGATCTCGGCCTACTACATAGGATTCCTCATCATTATAGATCCGAGATTACTTACTAACTTAATTACGCCTGTTACTCCTCGTGGAGGAGTATAGGCCGATTACCAGCACTCTCCATCTAAGATTATTAAATAATGATTACATTTTAAAATAAATGTAACACTACATATTTAATTACTTTGAAAGTCATATTACCAAAATGAATCATACTAAAATGAGAAATGATTAATATTGGTCACGAACTAAGTACAAATGATGAACAATCGAAGAACAAGTTCGAATTCAAAGTTTCCTCTGTTTAGTCTAAACCACTTAAAAAATATGTAAAACCACAAATTCCAAAGTAAATTGTGTAAACATCATGTTATTATTGAGATCATGAACTGATTGATGTTAGACCACCATTGAGGAGTCACACAATAGGACGAAACGGCTGTCCAATGCTTCAAGGTTTTCAATGGTAGTCTAACATCAATCGGTTCATGATCTCAATCAAAAACTTAACATTCTCCATAACACCTAAATTGATCATGTCATTATCCAAAAAACTGACTATAATCTCTAAACTATCCTCACGATGAGATCTAAAGATTTGAAGGTTCAATCTATCATATCGTACCCATTAGGGTGGATTATTATAGAATTATAATCTATAATGAAACAATTGATCAATATTCTCTCTAAATAATCTAGATCTCCCAGGTTTTCCATGATGGTCTGGCTTCAATTGACTCATGTGATCTCAACCATTAAAATTATTATAATATCCACAAAAACCCCTTCTGATATTCATCAACATATACTCACTAGTGACTGGCTTCAAGATGTATATACTGGAATTCTAATGAGAAGCAGTGATCAGTGTATTTCAACCTGATCTGTTGTGAGATAGTAACTCACTGAAGACAATAGTGGATATGTCACTCAATTTCATGGATTAGTTGAAGTTAGATATTAACACCATTGGATGCCGGTCGGCTCACTAGTCTCGAAATTAAGCTCTCGCTTACTATACTGATAGGTTAGAATCTCTCAAAGTGGAATCGTGGATGTACACTGCTGAAGAGTCCTACAATAAGAAGAGTTGACCATCCAATCCTTCCATGATGATCTAACATCAACTGACTACTCATGATCTTAATCAGTAAACTGTATACATTTTTATTTCTAAGACATAAAATCTATCTTATTAATATAATGAAGAAGAGTTGACATTTTGTGGACAATAAATATATGACGTCATAATTCATTATTTATTATTGATAAATATACTACTTAAATGACTCTTTTTTATTTCCTTCTTTTTTCTACTCTTATTTCTAGACCAGTTTTGTTCATTGTAAAAGTTCGAAAAAACTAAAAAAAAGAAAATTAATGTAAACAAATCAGATTCTTTTTTCTTTAAAATTATTATCTAAATAGTTTTTCTTTTCTTTTATTTACTCTTTTTTTCCGTACATTTTTAAGTGAATAGAAAAACTGGACACGTTCATCAATGAAATGCTTTAAGTTTAATGTTGAATGTATTATGTCATATGTAGTGAGTTACTAGTATTTGATCATAAATGTCTTCGAGGCATTGCCCGTATATCCTGGGATCATCGGATAAGTAGGGCAGTTGTTATAAAATGGCTACTAGGTAAGGATGGCAAATCAATTGATTAAGTAGTTAGTCTTTAGTTGAGATGGCTAGGACGTGTGTTATGTATACCCGACCACCGACTGCCCCGAAGTGCAATGTTTTATGATGTAGAAGTAGGTTGGAAGCAAGCTAGGGGTGGCCAAAACAAAACACTGCACAAATCCATGAAGTCACTGACAAGTTGACTGGGTCATGTTGGTAGGTACAGACTATCTGGTTGGGATCCGCGAGTTGATAGCAACCGATGGTTAGAGATCTTGAATGACATGGTTTAAAATCATTTGCAATGGTGCGGGTGCATACACTCTTTATGTTCTCCTAAATTTTAATCTTCTGACTTCTTCATATCCTCTTATTTTTTTCTTTCCAAATTTATTTCACTGGATTATACTCCTTGAATAACATCAAACCCCAATGCTTCCAACTACTGCTTATACTCTTACTACTTCTACAACTATGGGATTTGAATCGACAACTACATCTTTGTGTTAATGTGGTATGGCAACTCGAACTGATGTACGTACGTACGAAGTTCTACGTTGTTGCTGGCTGACTGACTGACTGACTGAGTTTGGAAAGTGAATAGAAAATTTCGAATAAATATGTAGTCAAATTATTCAGTGAGTGTATGTATAAACTTTGAGATGTATTAATTGAATTAAAGTATGTAGATCTGTAATACATTGTTTAGAAAGGACATAATTAGTAAAGATAAATGTGTTTAGGCCTTGAGGATTTCAAATGCTGGCTTGTATTGTGATGCAGTTTAGTGCTTTCCTCAATGTGTGTCCTATCCTTTTGCAGCGCTTCATCCTGATTTATCCCTACGCTGGGACTCGGAAGAAGCCGTCATTCAGAAGATTCAAGTGCTGTTTACAATTGTCTACGCAAAATATTTCGGATACGTTGGCCAGACACTATCAGAAAAACCCAACTGTAGAAGAGAACAAACCATATTCCAGCTATGGAAGAAATCAGGAAGAGGCACTGGAAGTGGATAACGCACAGATTGAGGAAAGCATCCAATCGCGTCACAAGTCAATCCCTCACAATGAATCCTCAAGGCCAAATGAGAAGAGGAAGATCAAAGAACACATTACACCGAGAAATGGAGACAGACATGAGAAGAATGAACAACAATAGTATAGAACTGGAATGAAAGGACCAGGACATAGTGGGTTCAACTGCGAGTAACAGGCGTGAGTAAGTATGTTTAGTAAGTTTTACAACAAGAAAGATGCAAATAGTAGTCAAACGATGAGAAATGAAATTATCAATCAGTTACATTCATTCACTTGTCTTCATGAAATTTTATTACTTTTAAAAAGGTAATAATAAATGAGATATTGGAAAAACGGCTTCTACTGCAATTTATAGAGTAGGCAAACTCTTTGTCTGTCTGTAAGAGAATGATTACCTTGCATAGATATTTGTTTAATGTCATTTATTGGTGTGAATTGAAGGTTGAAGGCATAATCAATACTCAACTGTTAATAACTGAGAAACATTATTCATGTTTGGTGCAATCAACATATAAACATAGCATAAGGTTCAGTTAGTAGGTCCGTCAGTAAAGCCATACAGTTTTATAAACTGATCTGACTGGGACATCTATCAAGTACTATGCAGGTAACATTTGAAGACCTAAGTTTACAGGGATAGTTATCAATAGCAATATTATTATTTTATACATTTTATTGTTCATACTCATTCGTTGTTTTCAAACTATATTCTGTATGCTTAGTAGTTCACTATTTTCATTACTAAGACATTCGACTTCATCCATTTTCATCTTGTTATTTCAGGTTTTCAATTTCATATTGATGTATTCAGGGAAGATGAAAATGTACTATAAAAATTTGATGAAACTGCAATATTCTACACCTTAATCATGTAGCGTATTCTTTCTGAGTAAATTAAATGATTGATGGCGTCACAGATGACGAGAGATACTGACAATAAATGCATAAGATTCTTTTAACTACTATTTATTATTAAGTAGTATAAATATTCTCAAGGCATTAACTGAAAGACTGAGTTGTTATAGATCGTTAGTAATATAACTTTTAATGCCTTATAATCGCTATCATAGTTATATGAAATATGGAAAGCGTAGGGCTGATTTAATGAATATTAAGGCTTAGTTTATAAACCTAGAATCTCAACAAGCTTTAAAACTGAAGACTTCCAAGTTTTATGGTCAATTTATAAAATTTTTTCAGAACTTCAACATACATCGGACCATATTTCAATCACAAGCTCACAAGGATTTCCATCTTAACTACTGAGGTTTGAGGAATTTATCGTTTCTGACTGACTTTCCTAACCTCTCAACATTGTGAGTAGTTCACTTTACAATTATACATTGCTTGTTAATACTTATCGGATTCCATTTTTTCTCGTTCCCCTCAAAAATTTATTTTTATGTTCAGATATTCTCAAGAGCTTTCGGTTCAACAAACAGCTCATTTTCATATATTCGTACCTCGAAGTATCACTGGATTATCTTTGCATAGTTACAGTTTATCACTGGATTCCCAAAATAATAATAGTAAGAACAGAATTCTGATTATGATACTTCCAGTCTACAGAAACTTAACAGAGTACGAAAACTGTACTGTAAATTTGATTTATAAAGAAAAAAATTTAAAGATAAACTGAACTAAATGATCTGCATACAAAAGACAATATCATTTTGTCTCATTCTTAGTGTTGATTGAATTTTTTCTATCAAGTTTCATTGTGAGGATCAGTTTAAGTGACTTAACGTTCAGGTAGGACGTTTTTTTGTTATGTAGTTTCAGTAATCCCTTATTGACAATTGGTCACTATTGGGGTTCTACGTGAGATATGTTTCTCAGTGGCAACGTTTTTGATAGTAACAACTAATAATAGGAGTCTGAATGTTACAATGAGCACCATTACTGTCGGAAACACCCTGCTGACGAGTGATGATTACGTTTTTGAATATAAGATTGATTTATATGATAAATTATTATCATTAGGATTCTGGATGTTGAGAAAAGGTACATGGAGATAAACGGTAAATTTATAAGTGTGATAGTTAGATTCAGAAATTCAGGGTAACGTATTCTGGAATATCATAAACACATCAACACATAATGATTTTCATTTTTGTCTTACCTATATGGATATTCCCATTAGTGGTTGAGACTGCAGTTGATTACTGTCTTATTGACATATCTGCATCCTGTGAGGATCAATTCGATATCGCCTGAAGTCACAAGCGTTATAAGCAGAGATAGATGGCGGCTAACAGTGGAACCCAAAACGCACGTTTTATCCCATTTATGTAGCTGCATTCCAGAGTTAATATTCACTCAAGAACTCAGATTAACTAACTTTTGTTTGAAAAGCCATCGCGTTATCCACTATCTATGCTCAATGGTTAAGTGGATTACGTGATGGCATTTCAAGTAAAGGTTACTTAGTTGGAGTCCTTGAGTGAACATTAACTCTGGGATGCAGCTACATCCAGCAGACAAGTTATAAATGGGACGAAACGCACAGCCTGGATTCCACTGCTAGCCATCATCCATCTCTGCTTATAACATGGAATTTTTAAATATAGTTTGCACGTTTTCATAATCCAAGAAGTAGGTTTCAATGTTAACCTTAATCTTCCTATCAATGACGACCAACAATTTGGTCTTTTTGTTCAGAGGTTCTAGTTGCTTATTCAAAACTTGATTGTGGTAAGTTTTCGAGTTTGGATTCTTATGTACCACATACCTATGACGTGCAATCTTAGTTAATTCATAACATGATAACCAAGTTTGATCTTTCTTTTGACAGCTTAGTGTCTAATTTGGTGCTTTCAAATGAAAACAGAACATTATCATTCTTTTACTGAATACAATTTTTCATTATGGTAATTCGTTTTCTAACTAGCTAATAGTGAAATAGATGAATTTTTATATCTATTCCCTAAATACTTATTCGTTTAAACAAAGTAACCTTCATTTTCAAGTAGATTTCTTGAAAGATATATGATCGTATAGTTAGTTAACTTCCATTTAAGTATACACTGGAAACGTAATAACAAAATAACTACTCGAAATGATAACTGTGGTAATGAGTAAATGATCTTATGTCTGGACTTCCTACTCATAAGCATACCGTATATACTTGTTGTGATGACAGAATATTAGTGTTATAAACTATATCAATTTGGAAATTTTGACTTTTAAAGAGAATGTTGGCAGTTCTTATTAGGCTATTCACCTGAATATGTCTCTATCAAATTAAATTTCAGTGTTCAAAATCATTAGAAGGTAACCAAATCACTTTACTTTTATTTTCTTTGAAAAGTTACTAATTAAAGTGAATAAATTCCTCTACTTGTGGCGGTGGTGGTGTTTACGAAATTGAGAGGATGAAAGGCGAATGTCCGGCTCTTTAGGTACTCAAATGTCCTGGTACGACCAAGGGTGGAGTGAGTCAGCTCTCTCTCTCCAAATGCCCTCACATGACCACGTGCATGCAACCACTATCAGGGAAGTTATACTCACTGCTTTCTCGTGACAAGGATGTTGTTTACGGAAGTGAAAGACCGAAAGCGGATGTTCGGCGCTTTAACCAGGATGATGGACACAAATGGTCCACCTAGAGGAGTTAGGAAACCATGATTCCATACCGATGGTGTGCATGAGCTCCAGGATCCTAAGGGAACAACTAGCGTTAGAACCAATTATAGGTCACCAGCTACCATTGGACTGCATCTCCTTACGTTGCTCCACTGCCATATGGATTAAACCTTTAGGTCGAAGGCTCCGAGTGTGGCCTCCTAAGAAAACAACCCGCTTCCTTTGTGGCACTCAGGCAGTATCACAGCCCACACACAAATCAAATGAGATTTGTGTGGCGCAAATGTGTTCGATGTCCCTCTCTACCGATATTTATGTGTTCATATAAACAATAATAAATAACGATCTTTTTTTAAAAAAAGGAACTTACTAATTAATGTAAATACATTACAATCTAAATGATGAATTTGCCATTCGAAATTTTGTAATTTCTGTTCCCATTTCGATGTAGATTTTAAAATGGATACGTTTTTATGTTTTATTATATAATTAATAATTCTGTATAAACATAATAATTGAAGTAATGGCCAGGTAAAATAACTTAATAAAGAGGCTAAACTTAAACTTCCAATAAATTGATATAAAACTGTATGAAGAATTTGAATGATAAGATTGATTGTCTTCAATTTGTATGTAGATTCACTTGAACGATACCTTTAAAAGTAAAGAATAAAAATTATTTACAATAAGAATTCAATGACTAAACAATGTATTCAAAGAACAATCATCTTTGTATTCACTTGGTGTTGTTTACTTATATCTTCCGATGGTTAATAAGGACTACGATTGACCAGTCTCTTATTGGCATATGTACATCCCGCCTGGAGTACCTCCGAGGGCTTCTGCCGGTCTCAAGCCCGGATAAAGTCGGAGGGTTGGGCATGGGGTTAGCGACCCCATCCCGTAGAAAACTAAATCGCTAAAAAATGCTCACTAGAAAACGCTTACCATCCCGTGCGAACTGTCTCGATATTGCCTGAAGGTACATCCAGCTGACGAGCATGAAATAGGAGGAAAAGCACGTCCTGGATTCCACTGCTAGCCACTATCCATCCTTGCTTATAAAATCGTCTTTGGTTTACACATTCTACTTTATTATTAATATTATATTATTATTATTTTATTATTAATATTATTATTATTATTATTGAATATTATATTTTTAATACAATATAGAATTCTCAGAGTAAAGTATTTCAACAAGTTTCCGTTTCTTTCTTCTTTCTCGTTCCTGGCGATAAATATTGAGTGATAGCCAATTAGATGTTAGCAGTTCAGTAAATGAACATCTGAATAATCTGCATTCTTTTCGTTGTACATTGCCAGCAACCATATTGTCTCTTATTGAGTTTTCTGTAACTTTGACAACGAAAGGTTGTACACTTTTCAGAAACGCAGCAGAATAGGTTATGCGATTAATAAACATAATGATATATTAAAACAAACAACAATAGATAACTTGTTGAAATATCTAGATGGCAGGAACAGGTAGCCCAGATGCTCAAGCTGGCCGCCCTTCAAAATTATATTTGTATACTATTGAGAAAATACTAGATATTATTATTTTAACCAAAGGTCAAAGACGATATTTTTCAGATGAATGCATCTATATAGTTGTAATTCAGTGAAATGGAACCCACATTCAAAATCCGTCGATTTCATTTTCATAGTGTTATGTGCTTGGTTGCCATTCAAATAGTTATTATTTGTTATAAAAATGTATACTACTTATAAGTAGTAAAACTCATTGAATTAGTGAATTACTACAGTCATCATCAGAAAAGTACAAGTATTTATGATCAACTGTCGATGAAAAATACTCAGTACCCGCTAGACGGATGCTATCAGCAACAATATCATCGCTAATTATATTATATCATATTATGAGACAACATTAAGATATCATACAAAAGGTAATTATTGAATTAAAAGTTTTATATCTGCCTTAGATTTAAGTAAATCGACTTTGATGTTTATCATAGATTTATTTAACTTTTATTCCCGCAAGCAGGATCGTGGATGCGAACTGTTGGGGAGTCCTGTAATGGAAGGAAACGGCCGCCCAATGCTTCCAGATTCTCATGATCTTAATCGAGAACTTGATAATCTCCACAATCCTATATTGAAAATTTCTATGGTTAACCGTACGATTAACTTTACAAGATTCAATATCCACTATAAATTCTAACACATTAATTACAATACCACTCTAATCCCCATTTTTTCATATTCACTGAATGTTATTTATTTACCGTCAAGAGATTCTAGTATCGACTGATTTACTGTATACATTCATGTGTATGTTTATGCAAATAAATATTACAGATTGAAATCATGAGTCAACTGAAGGTAGACCATCATGGAAACCTAGAAGCACTGGATGGCCGTTCCGTCTTGGTATGGGGCTCCTCAGCAATGCGCATCCACGATCCCGCACCCCGCGGGACTCCACCCAGGATCTACCGCTCTCGCGCCAAGCGCTTAACGAACTACATTACTGAGCCAGCATCGAGTGGTGTTAATATCTAACTTCAACCAATCCACGAAGTTATGCCACCGTATACCATTGTCTTCAGTGAGCTGATATCTCACAACAGACCTCATTGAACTCCACTGGTAACGGCTTCTCACTAGAACTCCAGGATTATCTCTTGAAGTCAGCCAATCTGTGGAATTTCTAAAATCTCCACAAACCCCTTCTGTAAATAAATATTATACTAATGAGTTACATAACTAACTAAATAGAAAAATATTTTTCTCATCATTTCAAAAGTTTTATCTTTTTAGAATACTTGACTTAACTTACTAGACAGTATAATTTTATGGTTTAACATCATGAATTGACCTTAGTTAGACATTCATTAAAAACTAAGGATCACTGTCATACATTAGCATTAGACTCATTGACAGTGAAGATTCAAAGACAAATCAGAATTCTGACCAGTTATCTTCAAGTATCACGGTAAACACTAGACATTTCAATCATTGAATTACCATCTAAAAGTTTACAATTCTAGTGACTATTAGCCATTGTCACTGATGATATTCGTTTCACAGTCGATATGGTTGAACTTATTAGATCGCTGATAAATTATTTGAAAGTTCTCTTGATCCATATGAATTTCTTTATAAGGCGAGACTATAATGTATGGACGAACCAATCCCGTGTAAGATAACAGGTCTCGGAATTTCGCACGAAATTCATTCATCCATTTGGATAATCTTGGCATTATAGCTGATGTTATTTCGTAATGAAAACCCTAAATCTAATTCCTAACCCAAACTATCAACTGTAAATCATAATCCTAATTCCTCACACTGCTTTATAACCCTCATTTTGTCTCAGTTACTAGGTGTACACTCTCTAAGTTACTTTAGCGTTGCTAAGACTAAGTGAATACTTACATCAGTTCGTATTTACAGTGAAGTTATAAAATGATAATTTCAAGTGTTTTGCAGTTTTCATTCCCAAAATTGAAGAAATTATGAGGCTTTTACAAACGGGTTATTTAAAGAAACGTTGTCATACTTTTATGAATTTAATTACCAGTTGCTAATGATTTACTGGGTTATATCTTTTGTTCCTATCAATTACCATGTGAAGAAACTGACCTTGTTCTTGTACTAAACCAATGACATATTAAACAGCACTAGTAGCTATGAATTAACTCTGAATCCTTATTGATTCTTCTCGCTTAACCCCGGCTGTTGAGTCCAGAACTCAATCTCAGCCTCCACTTTATGAATTGTATAATTCAGACATACGTTGTTTATATAAAAGCAAACCAGATCACATTACACCATAGAATAAGAAATGATAATTATCCATGATCAAGCCAACAAGTGACTGTGAATATGAGATGCAGTAACTAATAAATTGGGTATAAATTAAGAATAGATAGATCAAATGAAACCTTATGGTAAAGGGAATATGGATATACACACATAATCTAGTTACATAACAATTGTCCAATTAGAATATATGTCATGATAGTCGACAAACAATTTCTCTAGCAGTTATCATTCATTTGCTCTTTGTTAGGATATGACAAAACTGTGTAATGATTGATGATTGAAATAGAAAAACCTAGTCTGAGATAGAACCAAACTATCATCATTGAAAGTTAGTTATTATCATTATTTCTCATATTATTAGTAAGTCAAAGTCATCTGCTTGAACTGCAATTCATACACACCCGATTAAATGTAACAGAAAAACTTGTTATATACATATAAAAAGAAAAGGAGTAAGTTGCTGACTGTATAGTTTTTATATTTAGCCTTTATTCTGTGAGTTGACCATCAATATATCAAGCTAATCAACTCAATTATTTATGTGAATCTACTTAAGCTAACATGCTCCCAAATGCCCTGGTAACGCCAAGAGTAGAGGGAGTCCGCTCTCCCTCTCGAAATGCTCTCACATGGCCACGCGTATATTGCCTCTGACAGGGAAGTCCTACTCACTGCCCCCTCGCAACACGGGTGTTGTTTACGAAATTAAGAGAACGAAAAACGAATGTCTGAAGCTTTAACCGGGTTGGTCGACACAAATGGTCCACCTAGAGGAGTTAAAAAACCATGATTCCAAACCAATGGTGCACATGGGATCCAGTATCCTGAAGTAACTAATGGCGTATGAGCCAATCGTTGTTCACCGACTACCATGGAACTGCATCTCCTTGCGTTGCTCCACTGCCTTGTGGATCAGACCTTTAGGTCGAAGGCTCCGGGTGTGGTCCCCTAAGAAAACCACCTGCTTCGGTTTGGGCACCTGGGCAGTATCACAGCCCCCACACATATCAAATGATATTTGTGTGGTGCATATGTATTTGATGCCTCCTTGTACCAATATCTATATGTTAAAATAAATAAATAAATAATAATAAGCTAACATATTTCATTTTATATTATCATACATGAACATTTCCAATCTTTTTTTCTGGTGGCAAACACAGAGTTTAGCCTGTTGCTTAGAGGAACTTACTTAACGAAAGTTTTATGTAAATGTATTACTACCTATAAGTAATTACGTTGGAAACTTTATTAGTAGAAACTAAGGATTCAACTAGCTTACATTCAATAAACCTTAATGATTTAGAATCTTCTTGATAAAGAGCCATATTGAATCGAAACCTAAGGATGAAACACGGTATAACATACAGTGTAAACATGTTAACTTTGTATTTAACCAATGATTTCTATTGTTCAATCATACTATAAGAAAGAAATAAACTCGAAAGAAAAAACTGTTCATAAATCTAGTCATTCTTTTGTTTCTAATCTCTTTCTATAAACTAATTGTTTAAATCAATCTCAAAAGGATTAATTAACATTAACACTAAACAGAAAGAAAATGAGTCAGTTGTTGATGGAATTTTGTTCTATGGATCATAGAGCAAAACTCCATAAAAATCATTCACCTGAGCTACAAATCTTCTCCACTATCTCAAAACGACTCAATAACTGAATGGATAACACGTTGATGTTTGAAGTGAACAGTACTTGATTTGAGTTTTAGAGTAAACATAAACTCTGAGATATAGGTACACTTAACTGATGAATCCTAAAGAGGACGAAACGCACATCCTATATTCTCCTATTAGCCATTATCCATCTTGGTTTATGAAAACAACAATTGTTTTGATTTCTTA